AAGGCCTCTCTCAAATGTGCCCTGCAGCTTTCCCAATCTCATGCCATGTCCCTGATCTGCATAGCCAGTGACCTTTTCGCCTTCCTGGTCCAGAGTGGTAATGTCTGCATCCAATCATCTCTCTGTATGCCCTGCTCTTACATGAACCACTCAAACGCGGGGATGAAGTCCGACGCATTTCCAATCTCCAGGCGGATCGGCCTGCCATCAGGTCCCACAGGCGAGGGTCGCAACCCCTCCATCCTCATCTCCACCTCCTGCCTCGTCGTCGCCTCCCTATGAATCTTGTCAATGGGCTCTTCAAACCTACCTGCTCCCCTCAATCTCTCAATCGCCTGAGCGACGGTCCAGCCCATACACCTCGCATGCTCTCAGAAACTGTCCAGGAATAGCTCGATGTCCCCATCATTGTAGACTGGAGTACTCTCTCGATGGCGAGGCCCATGCCGCTCATATCCTCCTGATGCGCCCAACGGCCTCTGAGGCGGCCGTGTCCCCTTCCCTCCTCTTGGCATGGCTGTCTTCGTAAAGTCGGACCTGCACAACAGGCGAAGGAGACACCAGACACACATTGGGGTAAGCAAGCGGGTGATAATCAGAGCAAGCTCAGACCAGACCACACTCATGCAGCATGCATCCTTCCTAATCTACACACCCTGTTACTTTTATTATAAAGGCGGTCAGGTCATCTATCTTACCTCTTCTCACGCCACAAATTTCTTCAGTCGCGTTCCAGATACCCAATCCTTCCACTCAATCCCATTTAACACCTCGATCTGGTACGCTCCGAAGTCTCCGACTCGTGCGACTCGGTAGGGACCTAACCATCTCTTATCGAGCTTCCTGGACCACTGCTTCTCCAGCGATGTATCGTAGAGAAGCACGACATCCCTGACTGCCAAGGGTACTTTCCTTACTCGCGCAGACTGATCCCATCGAGCCTTATCATCCATACGGCTTCTCGCCACCTGGTCAGACGCCTCCTGGATCCTTTCTTCTATTGCTCATATCTGTCGCGCCCGAATATCGAGCAATTCTTCAAATGACAGGTTAACTTCCAGATCCTGGCGCCTCCATGTCTTAAGAAAGCTTTCGATAGGGAAGGTGGCATGCCTTCCGTACCACAGCGTCGCAGGTGCGTACTTGGTGGATCTCTTTACTGTAATGTTCTCGACAAAGAAAGTCGCCCTTAGGTATGGTGTAGTTGGCTGCCACACCATACCTTGATAACAGTTCTTGCACCTCCTGGAAGGTAAACTCTGATCCCCTATCCATTACGAATTCCCTGACGAAAGGATAACGCAGATAGTATTCCTCGATGCAGCTCACCAGGGCTGACCCGGTCTTTGTGCGAACGGCACGCCCGTCTACGAATCCAGACAGGTTATCACGCGCATTGAAGATATAGTTATAGCCTTGATCCCCAAGTGGCATAAAAAGTAGATCGAGATGCATTACAGCCTCCACCTCTCGCTCTAGCCTGGGATGCAGCGGCTCTCCTTGCCCTAAACGAGATCTTTCCTGGCAAGGTACGCAAGATCGGCAGAACTTTCCGACCATATCCATCATCCCATCCCAATAGTACAGCTCACTTATCTTGGCATACGTGGCTTTTACCCCTCGATGTCCTCCTGCAATATCATCGTGAAGTGCTGCTACGACGTCGATCTGACGATTCCTACCGCAGACGACTCTCCTGGGATTCCCCACTTCCCTTCTCACGAAAAGGTGACCGTCTCGCACTAAATAGCGTTGCAGCATCCTTTGACCCCTATCGCTCGCATCCCTTAGCCCTATTTCACATGACAGAAGAAGCCCCAGCTCTAGGTAGATCCCGCCGTACTCCTCTGCACGAAAAACTTCCTTAATTTCCCCTTCTTCGAACTCGTCGTCCTGACTCTCGGGTATTTCGTCCACATTCCCTGCCGGGTTCAACGAGCCTGGCTGGTCTAGGCTTTCCTGCAATAACGTATTGACGAGGAGATACATTCCTCCCATCAGGTCCTCATGCCGTTCTACCTGGTCAGGTCCTTCCTCAATCGTCCTCATATCCTCCACCAGGCTATGCGAGCTGGCCAGCGCTAATTCCATCATCCACTGAACATCCCTACCGCCCCAGGGATCCTCTTCTTTAAAGGGTTTAAGGACTAGCTTGGTCCTCCTTTCATATCCGCTCGGCGCTTGCCAAATTGGATAGCCTACACAGCTGAGCACTCGCGGCGACTACTTATTGATATGGAGACGAACATCTTCTTCCTGATTCAGAAATCCATCAACTCAGCCATCAACTTATTGATATGGAGACGAACATCTTATTCCTGCTTATCCCAGTTGATCCGACTTAACCCGTCCGCCCGGTTCTTACTACTAGGAATCCGTTCTAATTCGAAATTGAACATCCAGATGTACGTCAGCCATCTGACAATCGTCGGATCCGATGGAACGTAATTCCTTAGAGAATAGGCCAGGGCGGTCGGATCAACTCTCTAAATAAATCTCCTTCCGAAGACATAGTTCTGGAAGATTCGCAGACAGTGGAGGACAGCAAGGGTCTCCCTCTTGAACTGAGAGTAGTTCCTCTCTGTCGTACTTAGAGTCTGGCTCTCAAATCGCAAGGGTCTTTCCTTTCCTTCTATGTCTGCCTGTATTAGAACTCCCCCTAAGGCAGTCGGTCCCGCATCCGTTTCGACAATGAAGGGTCGTGTCTCTGTGGCGTCATAATCTGGCGCTCCTAACACCAACCCTCCTTCTCGAAATTCCTCCTTCATTTTTGCTACCACCTCTTCTTGTTCCTCACCCCATACCCATTCCTGATCCTGACGGACTAACTTCCTCAGGTGTTCAGTCTTAGTGGCAAAGTTCTTAACGAAGGCCCTCCAAAATCCACACGTACCAAGGAAGCTCCTGACATGAGTT